TAAAAAATGGGCCGATGCAATTACTAGAGTCTAGACAGTAAATTGTATAGCTGTATGAATTCTTCTCTATTTTATGAACAAGAATATTATAATACCTAGACTAAGTGGAATATTATAAAATTATTGCAAGTCAAAAAAAAAAAAAAAAAAAAAGAAATTATATACAACTTTATAGAATATAGATATACATTTACTCCAAATCTAGTTGGTTGATGTAATAAATATATATGGACTAACTAATTGAATTTGAAGGAATAGTTTGTCACAGTTGACAATGTAATAAAGCAATGTACTACATAGTACTATGTCATGTGATATTCCATCCTTAATTAGGCAACAGTTACCTTTTTAATCTTAAACTAATATGAGAGTATGTATCTTTTTCTGTTCCCTTTTATTAAGAGAGATGGAAAATTTATTAATATATTAGCATAACTTTAATAAAGTATAATTGAATTTGAGCCATGCATGCAATATATGGATGTAGTGAGCTTTATAGAGAAGAAACAAGAAAGTAGTTGGTTCACACATAAATTGTGATAATCACTGTCTTCTTCTGAATTATATGTCACAAATTATCACTAAAGTATTCATGCTAGAATTGCTTAAATTATACGAACCTTAGTTGGTGATTCATTAACTCTTGTATTGTTGTAAACCTTTCTGTGTTCTAGTATGTATGTATGTGTTGTTGCGGTAGACGTCGTCCGTACACTTGTAGAAGTTTATTGGAGTGATTATAACACAAAGTATGAGTCATGAGAAAAGCTTAATTATAGTCAAATAGTTACCTCAAATGTATATATGAATTACCAAATAAAGTAAAATACAAACTCAAGTTATGATTTATTGTACGTATGGATTAATCTAGAAAATGATCATGTGAGTGATGAGAGCAATGTAATGAGATGAGCCCTTTTTTTTTTTGAAAGAAAATTAGAGGGATTATAAGCCAAAGCTCAACCCTTATTGTTGTTTTAGTCCAATATTTACAGGCATTATAGACCAGACAGACACTTGAAAGTAAGGAATAAAGCATGGAAAACTATACCTCTAAACATACACCCTCAATAACATTATTCGAACTCTAAACTTCTAAAAAATCCTACCAATTGATAATCACCCAACTTGATCAGTATATTACTTAGCTCTCGCAACTTAATACCCCTATACGAAAATTCACCATCTCTTTTCACACTGCAATCTTCAGGTATCTCACATATCTTACATGTTCTTATTCATATAGATTCTAAGGGTGATTCACAATAATTTATTATATCTCTTATATATATTACCCACTTTCTTAAGCAGATAGAAGAATATATACGTAACGAAAAACATACTCATCTACTTACAACTTAGAATGAAACATCGTTTGATATTATTAATTATTAAACTTTAAATTATGATCCACAATCTTTATGATGTTCAGAGCCCCTCAATTATTTTCCACTTAATAATAGACTACATACTGTACATAATAAATTAAAAAAAAAAAAAAAAAAAGTATATGTAAAATGTACTGTAATTACCGTGGTCACACATTTTCTGTTAATAATTTGGTGAAGAACAAGCAATCATTTGATGCAAATGCTAGTGGGTGTTGAAACAGTGTAGAAAGTGAACAAACAAATCTGTTTAATTTAGCTGGAAGAAATGACATCATAAATTTGATGTTTCACACACATTTGCTGCTGCTGCATACTCTCATCTCATGCATGCACAAATTTATTTCAAAGCTACTTTGCGTGACCATCACTTTTCATTTTAAACTTTACATACTCTAATTATTATTCGACATTCATCTACTGTTCAAGTTGGATCACACATAAAGAAAGGTATCATATGTTGTTGGATTTGGGTAGGCTCTGTTTTGGAGCACACTATATATGAAAAAGAGACTGAATCAAATATTGTAGTTTTTACATACATCATCTCGTTTAAGTTAATTGCAATACTTTGGTTGACACACTTGTTAAAGCACAAATTAGACTATCGATATCTCTAATTATAAATGAGTAAAAATTACAAAGAGTAATATTTTAAAAATATACATTGCGATACATCTGAAAACATATACAATATTATATCCTAACATTTGTTTTTATATGTTAGGTAAAAATTTACAGTCAAAAGAAGACATATAAATAGTAAAAAGGTCAACCTGTTACATCTAATCTGAAACAGAGAGATTATACTATTATAAAGAGTAGGATAAATAAAGTCCGATTTGTTTCAAACAATTTGGAAATAGAAACCCCTAATTGCAACATATTTGCTCTCAAAGTCTCAACTCATAGTGTTGAAAGTCTACAACATTTTTCTAATGACCTTCCCAAGGACTTAACAATCAAAACATAAAACTTCTTTCAACAGCATAACATTTATCTAATGCAGCATGCCTTCGAGCCAGAAGCTAAGCAACCAACATTCATCTGCTTCATGCTAGCCGTATGCTCCATTCATTCTTCAAGAACACCATACTATACTACTCCCTATATTCCTATTTTTTTGTCCCATTGCAAATAATTGGGTCAAATCTCAAAAATTTTGACCATAAATTTTCATTAATTAATAAGAAGTCAGGGGTTTTATTGGATTCGTCTCATTATGTATTTTATTAATATCAAGTACTACCTCCGTTTTTTTTAGTTAACACGTTTTGATTTTAGCACTATTCGCACACTCCCCTTTGACCGTGTATTGTGCTTTATACATAATGAAAAATATAGTCATGTGAGATCTTGTTAGATTCGTCACGATATATATTTTCAAAATATCAACTTTTCATAATTTTTGTTTATCGGTAATTAAAGATATTAATGATTGAATTTGTGCATTGGCAAACATGACTAAAGAAACGTGTCAACTAAAAAGAAACGGAGGAAGTAGTTTTTATAATTTTTACGCGTATAAAAATAAAGTTATAAACGTTGCAAAACGTGTCTTAGAGACCGTGTAAAGTCCAATGAGGCAAAAATAAAGACAAAGGGGGTATATGTCTATATCCAACTAGAGGTGTCAATTCGGATAACCGGATGAAGTTTGGGTTGATCCATGACGGGTCGGATCTATTCGGTTCAAAATTACCCTGTTAACCCACCTCGAGTCGGATCGGATCACTTTCGGGTTGGGTCAAATTTAGGTCAAGATCTTTCAGGTCTAGATCAGGTTTGGGTCGGATCAACTTCAGATCAGTTCATATTCGGTTCGGATAATTCGGCTCGGGTTCAATATGGGTTTGACCGGATTAACTTCGCGTCGACTTTGGATCGGGTTGGTTTCGGTTCGGTTGATTTTGGTTATGTTATGCTCGGTTTGCTTACTAAGGTTGATTCAATATTCGGTCAATTCTAATTATGATACTTTTCGTGTTTGGTTGAATTTTGTTTGGGTTGACCAAATTTAATATTCAAATAAGTACATTTTTAAAATTGGAGTAATATTGAGTTTTTTTTTTATTTTTTTATTTTTTTTTTATTTTTGGTCGATATTAAGTCATTCATGTGTCATCTTTTCATATTGTGTCATTAATATATGTTTAAGTAAAAGAAAAAAAGGTAAATAATAGATTGGGTTTAAAATTATGGTTGGTTTGAAATCATGTCAAGTCAAAATTAAGCTTGATCAAAATCGGGTCGGGTTAATATCAGTTCAGATCGAAAACAGTTTGGATTGAATCGGGTATTTTTCGGGTCAATTTCGGTTCGAATTGAGTTAGGTCGGATCAAACTTGTTCGGTTTGAGTTCAAGTCGGATCAAATCTGTTTCGAGTTGAGTTCAATATTGGGTCAAATCAGTGTCGGGTTAAGTTCAAATCGGGTCAAATCGGATTCGGGTTGATTTCAGTTCAGTTATAGATTGGGTTTGAGTCTTGAATTTCTCAAATCAAATCGAATCGGTGACAGTTCAAAACGGATGATTTTTTCGGGTCGATTCAGTTTTGACACCTCTATATCCAACACACATTGTTAAAAATACTTCGTATATACAAGTACTATTCTTTTTTAAATAATCAACCATCCTTTTTACTTCTATTGTTTTGGATGGTGATATCATGGGCCTAGACCAAGGCCCTAGCTTTTGAATGAAACTGTGTTAATTAAAGCAACAATTATTATATGGACCATGGTGCACCTAGAAATAGTACACCACTTCTACACTTTTGAATATTTAGTAAAAAAAATTTGAACACTTTACAAAAAATGAACATTTAGTAAAAAAATATGAACACGTCACAAAAACTGAACATAAACATGCAAGTTTATATGTTCATATTTTATAAAGTAAAATTCACTTTATGTGCTGTAAATGTTCAGTTTATATTACAAAACTATTGAATTATTACGAGTCAGACAAATATCTTTCAAAAAATTGATGTTTATTATATAGTGTTGTATTTAATATAGTACATTTCAAAATTTGTGATTGTTCAGATTTTTTTACTAAATGTTCAAAATTTGCAATTGTTCAGATTTTTTTTTTTACTAAATGTTCAAAAGTATAGGCATGGTGCATTGCGATTGTTCAGATTTTTTTTACTAAATATTCAAAAGTAAAGACGTGGTGCGTTGCGATTGTTCAGATTTTTTTACTAAATGTTCAAAATTACAGACGTGATGCATTGCGAATGTTCAGATTTTTTTTACTAAATGTTCAAAATTTGCGATGTTCAGATTTTTTTTACTAAATGTTCAAAATTTGCAATTGTTCATATTTTTTCACTAAATTTTCAAAAGTATAGGTATGGTGCATCTATTTCTAGGTGCACCATGGTGCACCTTAAAATTTGCGTAATTAAAGTCGAAACCTGGCCTCCAATGATCCGATCCCTAATCTCTAGATACCAAAGGCCCAAGAGGAGTGCTTCCATCTCCTAGTCTCATCTGCACTACTCTTTCTATACCTGTACTTGTAACTTCTAAGGCAAAAACTTACAGAAAACACCTTATTTCATCTTATAATTTACAAGTCACATCTCATATCTTCCGAAATAGCAATTTAGCATGACTCAATTTTGGTGCCTTTTTACAACAATTGGTTAAAATGTTTCGTTCTTGATCAGTCAAACTTACAAGCAAAGCTACCACATAAATACATTCCACAAAGGCACAAAGCACAACCTAAATGGTGGTTATAAACTCAAAAATTATAACCTACACCCTGCCCCTGCTTTCACAGGACTAAGAATCAAACAGCGCACTTCAGCCGGAAACAAGTAAATACATAACCTGACTTACACGATTATAGCTGCCCCTCAGATTGCTAATACAAGGAAAAACATATCCTACACGGCTAAACATCTTCATAACTAAATTTTCTACAGAATGATAACAGTGACCGAGCTTCTTGAACTACTCCTTTACGATTAACAATGTCTAGTGACCATATCTTAGCAGAAGAACCATGAAACATAAGGATCTTGAATAATATGAAACCTTGCTATCAAGGGCTGCTGCTGAAATAGACGGTCCAGGTGGTCCCACGCCAAAAACTGTTGAGACGTTTTGATTTGTTGTGTCTAGCACAGATGAACTCGTGCTGTACTCATAGAAACAAGTTACAGTTAATAACTGATTCGGACAAAATAAAACAAGGAAAAGAGAATACACTAAAACATATGCATTTTCACCTTGTAGAGGGATACTGGCATGTTTCAGTACCTGAAATATGATCAAGAAGTATATTGTGACATCAGTACAGAGCGAATATGAAGTCTGACTATTAAAGGTAGTACAACAATTCATAAGAAATAATAACAATCTTGATTCCAGAGAAATGCATCCAGAAATGATGTAACATTTTATGCAATAAAGATAAGTTTCCATTCGTAAATTTAATTAATGAACATATACAAAAGTTAGCCAAAAGTAACCGACTGTTGTAACGTTGTTTACTACTTTATCTCTAGTGAAAGTTAGCGGAGTCTATAATTAATCCAGCTTTATTAAAAATGTACTTAAAAGGTACCACGGGTGATTAGAATAATTAGTGGCTAAGGTCTCAGATAAGTGGAAGTCAAAATCAGGCACATGGAGAGCAAATTTGCACTTTGCAGCACCATTATTCACTAAGTGCAATCACATTGCATCACAATTCACAATAAACTATGATGAGTATGAAGTCTCGAAGGCCACAGATCCTGTTTTAGAAACCTTTCAAGTTGAAATCTCGAGGAAACTTGGGGTAAACCTTTCCTTTAAATGACTAGTTAACTTCTCCCTTCTCGTGGTTCATTGAATTCCCACTATGATCATATACTTTCTGTACAGCTAAAATGTATTAACAATACAAATAACTTAATCATTTCTAGACGAAATCATCAATGTTTTAGTGTTACTAAATAAAAATTGCACATTATTTCTCCATTTGCAACATATGCCTAATGCACTTTCTGTGGGAAATCTGATTGACGTGTATCCTACTTCATGAACAGCCCAATTAGTTTCACATAGATTATATTCAACATGTCCCAGATCAATAAAAAAAACAGACATAAAGAACAAACAAAATATACGCTGCACAAAAGAAGAAAAGCACAAGTGAAAATAGGAGAAAAAGAATTGTTGATCATACTTGGATTAGTGTTAGTGACAACAGCAGTCCCTCCAAAGTTACAGCTATTTGGAATTGGGTTCTTCTGGTAGTACGTGTTGAATGCATAAGAAGCGTGATCATGGAGTGTATTTGGGTAATAGCAACTCCCGCCAGATTGAATTGCAGTGCAATCAGCACCACCATGGCCACACGCATAGTCTAAAGCCATCTGCAATGCTAACCGAGCAGCAGTTTGGCTGGCAACACACCAGCTAGCACCTGAGTTAACAGGTGAGGATGTGGTTGGGGTAGCAAATGGAACCCACTTAGGCGGGTCTTCAGGGATTGAGTTTGGATTCAATACGGGAGCAGATGACGCGCCTGTGAAATTTATGGTTGGTACAGTTGTAAGAGGGGATGTGATGTCCTTTTGGATAGTTGCTTCAGTAGGAACCTCACCAGGTCCAACTCCTCCCCATATTATAGCGCATGAAACTGACAAACCAAAAACAAAAACTGATGAGAGGATAGTAGATAGTGCCTTACTTGTAAAATCACAGCCTTTATTGATGAGAAATATGCAAATGAAATGCTTGGAATTATGCAGCAAACTAAATATATACTTCATGATTTTCTCAATCCCTAAGAAAGGCATACACAACTGTAATGTCTGTGTTTCTTTATATACTGTAAGTTCAATCTATGATGATTTTGCTAAACATCAAGGAAGAAACAATAGGTGAAAAGAGGTAGGCTATTTATCTAATGCATCATATTGTATTATGAAAACCTCTGTCGCTATGCCCACTTCAAAGAATAAGTTTTATTTAAAGTGATCAATTGAAGTTTAAATAATATTATCATTCTGCCCTTAGTTAGATATGAAGTATATAAATGTAACACTTCGGCGTCTACTAAAGGGTGGGAGGAAGAAGATCGAGAAGCAGATTGGAAACTCACTTTAAGGTACATATATAACAAATGACATAAGAATATATTCTGATGTGTACAATAGAACAAACTCTTCAGTTCATCAATTAGGTACAGCTATACAAGTACATTCCAGGTATAAATCCTAAAATTCTTCAAGAAGTCCATGTGATCAAAAGTAAGTGGGAAACAAAACATGAAAACTAACATATTTTTTCTTAGGAATATACAACGTAAGCAATGATAAATCTATCCTCGAGATTGAACTATCATAGTTTCATTAATTTTAAAAAATGATGTGTACATCTAAGGACATGTAGTGGTTTTCCTATTAAACGGGGAGCACTTTTCGGATTACTTGAGATTAGATCGAATGATCCAGTCTCGGAGATTGGTCAAGAGTTCCTCGGCGAAAATTGGACTAAAAATGCTTTAGCCTAAACTCGAATAAACCGAAACAAGGTGTACAAAACCAATTGACCAATTCTATGATGACGTACACTTAACAAATGCTTAGTTCTCTAGTGTACATGATGACAAACATAACATAAAAAATGACCAACAAATCGAATCACAAAGCAGATAAATGCTTTACTTCCTAGTTTAGCCAATTACTAGAATATTTGACCACAATAATTAGGAAATCAAATGCAACTTCTGACCATGAGAATCTTAATAATACGACAAACTATCCCAAAAAAAAAAAAAAATAGCTAAAATATTAATTACACCTCTCAATCCTAAGTTCAGCTAGAAAATAAAAACAGAGGAAAACACTATTTACAGACTTTCTTTTTTACCTTTCTGGGTTTCTTCCAGTCAAATTTAACTCAAACCCAACATGAATCAAACTATGAACAAAAAAATTGTAGAAACCCAACATGAATCAGGTACGATGGTATATGCACGTCTAACTTAAAAATCAAATCTCGTCTATATCATTGTCTTAAATGACCACCTGGCTGTACAACAATTCACGAAAACAGGACTTTGCATTTTCAAAGGACTAGCTTATGAATCAAATTTCATCTACATCATTGTCAATTGCCACGATATAGCATAACCTCAAAACAAGACTAGGCAATTCCAAATTTAGGACCAAGTAAAAACAAATAATGATGAAAACAAAGATAGCTAAAAACAATGAAAACAAAAAGTGGACCAATAAAGCAGAGAAAAATCACCTGAAGAGAAGAAAAGAGAAAGAATGATGAAGAATGAAGCAGAGAAGTGAAACAAAAATACCCTTTTACCCATTTCAAGTATTTCAAAGAAATTAAAGCCTCAATAACAATTATAAGTGATTGATTACCCAAATGTAAGAGAACAAAAAAGCTGCCATAGTTTTCTGACCTTATCTTTTTGTAATATATTCAAAAGGGAAAATGAAATAGGGGTAGATTAGAGAAATAGGATAAAATATAGGACAGCTGAATATTTGTAGAAGCTAAGGTTTGAAATTCAAAAGACAAAGAAGAAGAAGAAGGAGAGAGAAGAGTAAAAGGGAAGGTTGAGAGTGGTGGAGACATTGTGGGATTTGTGGGTGGTAGAAAATAAGATGAAAGGAAGGAGCAAACAATGGGGGAAAAGAGAGAGAGAAGAAGAAAAGCAAGAATTGTTTGTAATATTAAGTGATGATAGTAATGATGACCTTAATTAGTGCCCATTTTCTTCTTCTTTTTCAGGTTTCTCCTTTTTCTTTTCTTCCTCTTCAAAGTCTTCATCTTTGGTATTCAGTAACTGTAGAGGTGTAGAGTATGATATTTGGTGACGTTTAAGGGATGACACGTGGGTACATAATTTTGCATCATATACGTCTTAGTTGAAACGAGTGTAAATGATCTAATGGGGAGGTATGGATATCAAAAGTCATACTCCACTAGTCTTAAGTGAATGAGTAATGCAGAGTACATGGATAGTGAATTCAAAATCATATTTATTCTCATATTCTTTCGTTTGCTCTATATCCATTCATTTGTTCAATCTCAATCATGTTAGCTTTGTAGCATTATGTATCGTCAAAAAAAATTTAAATTAATATTAATATTATTACGGAATAAAAATTGAAAGTGTATTAATGATAGAAAAATAATAAATAACATAAAAAATTGTGTTAAAGAGAATTTAGAAGTCTAAACGTAGCCTTAAATTTGGGACATAATGAGTATTAAAAAACACAAGGAAATTTTTTTGGAAAAGAGTGAATAGAAACTGTGCTTTGTGCTTGGATTATTAATTTGTTACTACTCGTATTTGAGATCTTAGCCAAGTTAAAGTCGGTAAATTAATGGTTAAAAAAAAACACCAAAAAAGTTGAACAGCCGGTGCCGCAGTCTTAGGTTGCTAGAAGCCCAAAGTCCAAGAAATAGGGGGAAATTAGTCAAAAGTTCTATTCCTTTTTTGTGTTTTATTTCATTACTTTTGAAATTTTGCATTACAGAATTTTAGAGTATCTAAAGACATGATGATAAACATATATTTGGATTATAAAAGGCATTTGATTTGATCACTAAAGTATCTATTTTTATTTGTAAAGCAATAAAATTATCTTGATACTTTTTTCATCTTATACCCAACAACTAGGAAATAATAACTGAGTAATAGCACCTTCAGAGTTATGAAGTGTTCACCTGTCTTAACAATAACTGATCTAGCTACGATTAATACCGATACTGAACCTATGAAATCGAAGCCGAAAAGGAGGTTGCAAAGCAACTCTGCCTCATAAATCTGTTTTTCAAATGAGTATATCTCCTTGATGTAACCATGACATAATACAAACTCACATAACCTTACATAATCACTTATTCCGGTCAAATAGCTCTGTATCTTTTTCATATTTGAAGAGCATCAGCAATCGACCCAGCAAGGCTCAGAACTTCGAAAGGAGCTCTATTTGCAATTGCCTTTACAGTACGAGGGCAAGAATCCGTGATCCAAAAGTAACTAAATGCTTTCTCTGAACCTGGGAGAAGGTATAAACAAAGATATTTTGAGTCATCATTAGTTACGGACTTTGCAATCAAGAATCATCAGATATTATGTTGCAATTATGTGATAAATTATTAACGATGGTCATTTTCATGCGTGAAACGCTCATATGAAGCCTTTGGAAATACAGCATGGGTCACATAAGCACTAACCTTCACTGCACCATGCGCAGCCAATACTTTCTGCAGTTTCAAGAACCAAGTCATATACTAGTACAAGTACCCTTGAAAAACATACAGATTTGATTGGTAAACATGAATAATAATATAAAAGTAAGATTCAACTTAAAAAGATGAGTGGAACTTAGAAAACACAAAGACCAAATTTTTATGAATTCTTGAGTTCCTAGCCAAAGTTATTGTGTAAGGAAAGCAGCAAGTCTGCTCTTGTTAAAAAAGGAACGAGGTATTGCATATGTACACGACTAAATGAAAGTTTATGTAATACAGACATGATTGCTTTCTCTCAATAAGAGTGCCACCAGATTGTACTAAGTCATCAACAATGACAACGTGACAGCCAGCAGGGTTGCCTTCCTTAAGCCTCACTATCCGTTTATCACCTTCACGAACCTTTGCACAAACCACCTGGTATTGGATGACATGAAAATTTTAATTGCGATGGAATATGCAGGATTGAATTGGTCAGAACAGTTTTAATAATCACACATGACATAAAAATACACAGACCGTAGGAAAATGATCTAGCTGCTTGTGGAATCGCTTCCATACTCCTTCATCTTGAAATGCAACTACTATCTGGAACAATGTTGTGGAGTAAGGGGCAATCATTAACATACAGCTGTAAAGACAGTTGAAAATTCTTTGCGGAATTAACATAATGGCCAGTGGAGAAAGGAAAACATATTATAGTAACCTTTTCAGCATCTGGGAGTTGATCAAGGCGCTGCTTCAACAGGGGGATGCCAGTTTCAAACAATGGTAGTACATTGTCACTAAATTAAAACCTTTCCTGCAAAACAGCAAAAAATAAAGTGTCAAACACGTGAAAAAAACAATGTTCCTCTGTTTCTATTTAGTTGACACGTTCAATTTAGGCACACATATTAAGAAGAGGAGAGAGAGAGTGAAAGAGAATGATAAAGCAAGTGGGGTAGCTAGTAAATGCAAAGTATAAGTCTTACCCGAAAAGGAAACGTGTTAACTAAAAAAAACTTCCTAAAAAAGAATACATGTCAACTAAAAAAAAATGGAGGCAAGTATTACAGAAGATAGACAGTAGTTAGTAGACAGAACCGGGAAGAAAGCTTCGCATTTGAATTTTATGTAGTCAAACTTTGAAAACCTAGGCGGCCTTTGGTAATTTATATGAAGTATATAAGAAAAACACTATCATGCAAGATCTTGTTAATTTCTTTTCAATGTGTCATAATATTGACTTTTTAACAATTTTAAAGGTATTAATGGTCAAAGGTGTACATTGGAGACCGTACAAAATGCAAATAAGAATATCTTAAAGTATCAAAAGAAGTATGATAGAAATTATAAATAATCAAGCCGGAAGTTGGGAACCTAATTTCGCTTAAATAATAAAGGGAACAGACAAAGTAATTCACAAATTTGTGATGAATCCAAAATAGGCATATCATGATATCACTTCTTTCACCAAGGTCAGGCATTATTGATAACATTTCAGAAATTTGCACTCCAAAGAAAATGCTCCTATCAATACTCTCTAGAATAGTAAGCTATGATAACTTTTCATTTTCCAATACCCAAGTTAAACACATAACAAACGGTTTGAATACCCATGATTGAAAACAGCTGGTTTATAAGATAATAGTCATAGTAACCAAGGAGTTAGTATAGTGGTTCTCGAAGCAATTAGTAAATATATCTAGCATTAAATTTTCTATGATTTTTTTATTTTTTAAACTTCTCTTTATAAAGTTTATAATCACATCCTAATCCTACTTATAGTAGTTACATGACTTACATCAGGCTCCATAACAACCAATAATGTAATTATCCAAGTAATAGCCACCTCTCCAGAATTCATTACACGATATTAATACCTCTGATATCGAAAATTTTCAAACTCTCTGAACACGACACTATCACAAAATACCCATATTTTATGATCCCCTAATATCCAAAACCCCCTGTCACTCAAACCCAAACCCATATCACTATAGCCAATACCTGACAAAGGCAAACCAAACAGTAAATAGGAACTAAATCCCCACACCCAAAAATTAGGAGCTCAGAGTAACCTATATATCCCAAAAATTCTTTATCAACTTTCCACAGTCCGCCTATGGGCTATGGTAATCACTGAACAAACACATCTAAATTATATAGAAAACAAAGGTCATGTCCTAATATTTCCACCAAACACTTCTCAGGCCCTATATGTGTCTAGTTTCTCAATAATATATCTTCTATTGAAGCTGCTTCATATATTATTATATTACAACATTGGTCCTCAACCATCAACAATCACACATTATCTAGAAGTTACAGCCTCTTGTTACACGGATAATACTACATCTTTTCCTGTTTCCCCACTTTTTATTTAGAAGAGAATAGAGAAAGAGCAAGCACTTCACCAGCTACTAGGAACTACAACCTCAGAACAGATAATTGTCCAAGAGGACCAAGGCCTGTTCATCCAACAAATTAGAGTTTGACGACTCAATTCATTACCACAATTCAGACCATTCACACTTTCATAGGGCAATCAATCCCAAATCAATTGCACGAAGTATGCTGAGTAAAATCATGCAACTCAGTCACTTCAATTCAAACTTTCAGGTGTAGTAGAGGAGAGCAGGGAATATAATGAAAAATTATCAGATGATGAATGTTGTCCTACAACAAGAATTTAGAAAGCTAGCACCCACCTCCAACTCATTCTATTAGCAACAGAAATGAACAACATTCAACAGAGATACACTACCCTTTTCTAGTTTCTACAAAACTTATTAGGCTGACTTTTGACAAGTTGGTCTTAGTTACTTTAACGGTAACATTCTTACTTTCTGTTTGTTTACAACAATAACTCAAAGTGCTACTCTTCCAAAAGACTAGTTCTTACAAAAAAAAATTACCAATGCAATTCACTCCCATCTCCAACATCAACACTTTGACATTTTTAGGTTTACACAATTAACTTGGAAATGGTGAACTCATATTCATACATAAAATATCTCCTATGGCTGGAATCAATAGTCACATTGATCATTTAACTTGAACTTGTAATGTAACCATTACATTGAAGCGGAGGTTGAACTAAAGTTTGTCACAAATCTAATCATAGTGACCATCAGCCCATTTCAATCTCTTTAGAGTATGTTGATAGCATATTTCTTTTCATACAAAAAAATAAAAAAATTTCATTTCAAAGACCTTCATTTTAATATGACTATATGAATGTCAACCCACATATTTATTGGCAAAATTCTTAATTGACTCACTTTATCCCATTTAACGATGTTATATATGAAATTTAAAATCTAAAAAGAAAGCACAAATGTAACAGAATTTCAACAAGACCCCCTCATAATACTCAATACACACAAATATAATCACGAAGCATGTAAAAGAAATTCCAATACTAAAGTATTATGACAAATTGACAATAAGGAACCAGAATAGAGAACACATCTATTCCAGCTTCTAATTGATTATAAAACTCACCTGCAAAGCATGTATGTCATATATGACCACACTAGTTGGTCCACCCCTTGATATTGGAATGTTGGATAATATCCTTGCCATTGTAAAAGCTGTGGCAACATCTCCTTCCTCTTCCATTCTCTCAAAGGATCCAGTTGGAAAAAATGGTAAGACCAATGTGAAGGATGCAACAAATAGCCGCGGAAGAGCAAATATAACAGACAGTTGCTCAAATATGACTGCTGGTGAGCTAAAAGCAGCCAATGTTGGCCTCTTATATCTTGTGCATTATTTATGAAAAGATTTGGAA